GAGTTATCTATTGTAGGTGCTCTGCCGTTTAAGAGGTGTCCCGAAGTGCACAAGAGTATAGTTAGTTTTAGCTATAGTTGGGTATATATATACTTTGATCCTTTAATAAGAATATCATAGGAATCTACCTAACTCGTTGTTCTTCCGAGTTGACTAGTTATTTATCTTAGTGATCTATCCCCTAAGTGTCATTATACTTAATTCTTATCATTACCTTTACCCCTTGCTTTAGCTATGCCGGTATGTTGATTAGTATACATTCCTTTGTTATCCAATAAATCTTTACTCCATTGTTTCCCTGTGGTAAAATATAAATAACGATACCTGGAATATTCCCGGTAAAATGCTACAATGGCATTCTATGCGCTTGTGGAATCCTTCATATTCTATTTACATTAATAAATACCAACAACCTACATGTCAGAATTAATCATGCTTATCCACTGTGAAATGGGCACCAGAAGGTTGTAGAGGACTCCAGAGGACACCACACCGAAGCGGGAGCCAAGGGGCTGCCATGTGGGGTTAGCCGGCCCCACCTATAGTCCGCCCAGCCCCTGGGCCCACCTATCAGCCTCAACTTCGTTATGTTAGTTCTCCACCGCCTCATAGGTTGCATCTACGCCGTTCTTTAAGTCGGTTTGATCTAAGGGCTCACGATGGACGCTCCAACCTATATATATCAACCCCTACCCCCTCCCTCAGCAGATCCCTAAAACCCTAATTCATATCTTCAGGATCAGAGCCAGCAATCAAGAGAAGATTAGTCCTCCATATGATCTAGTCTTATAAATAGAATAGTGAGATTGAGAGTGAGGGAAGAGTTTGGAGGAGGTACTGGCCTATCGGCGCTCGCTCTACGGCTTGTACCTTGGCGGATCTAAGTTCTACTTGAGCTTGCTTCTCAGGATTCTTTAGTAATCAACTTCTAATTCAAGTAAGCATCGTGTTTATATTGCTCATCAGGTTCACAACTCTTTGAGTGCTTTAATCTATAGGACGCTCTAGGTTAAAGTAGTAATTGTAGGTGTAAGCGTGGTGCTTAGACCGGGTTACTTGTGGATATACCCTATATTCCGGATCGGTGGTAGCTCACGAGGGTGACTCTTATAGCCTCGTTGAATCCTCTGTAGTCAACCTCCCGTTTGTAGGTCTAGCAGGATTGAGTTACTATAGGAAACATACTCTGCTTGTGCTTCCCTTACTAATATTCCTAGTTGAACAATAGAAGACATAGTTTACCGAAGTTAGAACTAGAAGACCTTTGTGATCTCCTCTATACTCCTATTTATCCTAACCTTATTGCTACCCCTAGTTAAGTTAGACTATAGTTAGTCTCACACGTTTCCCTATGGATACGATATTTGGAATATCTCTGGGTGAAAGCTACAGCGATATCTGTGCGCTTACGGATTTATCTGTGTGCGTTAAAATATACCAATAGTCGGCAGAGGAAGAAATGGCTAGCCCTTAATGGCTAGTCCACATGGCAGCACCAAACATGTTAGGTGACCATGCAAAATTCAAGTGCTTAGGTTAGTTAGACCGTGCTCACGTGCTTGCTCTAGCTTAGGCTTAGTAGTTAGTGAGGTTTGCATACCTCGAAAGAAGGTGCTTGCGCGCACCGTGTTTGTACTCAGCAGGGCTTGTAGTCTTACGAGACCACACCAACCATGTTTATGGTGTGGCTGCCACTGTGTGCCGGAAGGAACGAGGCCCGCGGTGGCTTGGTCGAAAGCTCGATAGTGGAGATGGCAGGGAGCATCTAGGAGAGGCTTGTAGGAAGGCACACTAGAGACCCACTTGTGCATGGGAAAGGCCCGGGGCTATCCACAGAGTTACCCAACTGGGAGCTTGGCCCTTACGAGGGCTTCCTTGTGAGGGGCTCTAACAAGGACAAGGGAAAGCTTGCATGCTTTTTGATACCTCAGTAAAAATACCGGAGTCATTGACGGGAGTTTGCATCTCTACCTTACTTAAGTTTCTGCATTTACATTGCTACCTCGGTTGTGTGCTTTACCTTTTCTAACTTAGTTGATAGGCTAGTTGATAAGATTGGAACCTAGGTTGCACAACTCTTTTGTGGTAGAGATAGCAACACACCTAGCAAAACCTTAGTTGCACATCTAGATAGTTTATCTTTGCATATGTTTTACTTATGTTGAAGTTAGAGGCCATAGTTTAGAATTAGAGTTTTAACTTGCCTAATTCACCCCCTCTAGGCGTCATGGTCTTTTCACCATGGATGTGAGGCAAGCAACTGTGATGTTGACTTTGCCAGCAGAGAAACTCAGAAATGTGGAGTTGCCATTTGTTGGGATAACCACACTAACACAACTTGTTAGTGACAGATTGATAGTGGAAGCACTTAATTTCACCATAGTGCGAAATCAGCCCAGGATCATCACCTATTCACGGAAGAAAACATATGCATCAGATATATAAATGGAGGAAATAGCAGCAGCCACAAACTAGTTCTAGCCAGTTGTTACCACATCAACCATAGTTGCTTCTAATTGCAACTGACCACAATAGCACCAACAGCAAGTGCAACTAGTTGCAGCAGGTCACTCCCAACTGCAGTTGCAGCCAAACTTCCATAACCAACAAGACACCAGATTTAACATGGAAAACCCGCCAATCAGGGTAAAAACCATGGAACCAAGCCAGCCAAAACTTCTTCCACCATATGCTTGTGGGATTATGCCAAGTTCATCCCAGGATAGCACTAGAGGCAACTAGTAAGATACAAGAGATCTTGATAGCAACAATAAGATTTGGGACTAGTACTTAAGGAGTGGAAAGACCTCACCAAATGATGGTGGAACTTAGATTAGAGGCACCGAAGATGTGGATCTAAAGCTTCACAACCTTGGGGATGAATCTTCTGGATCTATTGCAAGATCTCCCCTCTAATCCCCTTCTTCTCCCTCTCTTTTCTTTCTCTAGGTTTCTTCCCTCTCTCACGCGTAAGGAGAGCAAGGGGATGAACTGGAGTTGTGTTATGTCAGTGGTGTACATATAGACTTCTCCCTTCCTTCTCTTGTAAGGTAAGAAGCAAAACACTAGATGCACACAAGTTTGGTTCACCTCCTTGTGCTACATCTATGACATGTGGCGTGCTCACTAGGAAGATTTACTCTCAACACCCACTCATGAGGAGGATTTCCCAACATATCTCCCCCTCCAACTCATGAGGGAGCCACCATCATGCCCGCTACCTCATTGCACACTTGTAGCTTCACTTTTGATAGCACTTTGGTCATCATATCTGCACCATTTTGGTCAGTTTGAATTTTCACAAGTTGCAACAACTTGGAACTCATCACTTCTCGAATCCAATGGTACCGCACCTCAGTGTGCTTGGTTTGAGAATGAAGGCTTAAATTCTTAGAAAGATTAATACACTTTAGTTGTCAGAAAATAGATTGTACTTCTCTTGCTTATGTCCCAACTCTTGCAAGTTTTTCATCCAGAACACTTGCAGGCTTCAACCGCTGCAATGTACTCGGCCTCTCTTGTGGATAATGAAATGCACTTCTATAGCCTTGATTGCCATGACACAGCTCCCCCTGCAAATGTCACTAGGTATCCTGATGTGAACTTTCTAGAGTCCTTATCTCTAGCATAATCTACATCTGTATAGCCCTACAATATAGGATCACCATTTCCAAAACATAAGTGCATTTTGGAAGTTCCTCTAAGATACCTGAGAATCCACTTTGCTATAGCCCATTGTGGTTCTCCTCGATTGCTAATGAACTAGCTAACAACTCAAACTGAATAGGCTATGTTAGGGCTAGTGCACACCATGGCATACATCAAACTACCCACAATAGATTGGTAAGTTACTTTCTTTATTGCTTCTTTCTCCTTTTTTCTTATAGGACACTGATCTACACTAAATTTGTGATGCCCTACAAGTGGATAATTAACTGGTTTTGCATTTTGCATATTAAACCTTTCAAGTACCTTCCCAATATATGCTTCCTATGATAGCCAAGCTTCTTGTTTGCTCTATCACAGGAGATCCTCATGCCAAGTATTTGTTTTGTCGGTCTCAAATCCTTCATGGCAAATAACTTGCCCAATGCCTTCTTCAGGAGAGCAATTCTTTTTGTGCCATTTTGTACAATCAACATGTCATCAACATTAAGCAAGAGGATAATAAAATCACCCAAACATACTTCTTCATAAAGACAGAATGATCAGACTATGCTTTATGGTAACCAAGATTTGTCATAAAAGACTCAAATTTTTGTACCACTGTCGAGGAGCTTGCTTCATGCCATAGAATCTCTTGTTCAATTTGCACACCAAGTGCTCTTTGCCTACAATCGCAAACCCTTCTGGTTGCTCCATATATATCTCTTCCTCTACGTCACCATGGAAGAAAGCTGTCTTCACATCAAGTTGTTCAACTTCCAAGTCCATTGTAGTAGCCATACCAAGCACAAGTTGGATTAAAGACACCTTGACCACATGAGAGAATATCTCATCAAAGTCAATGCCTTGCTTTTTAGCAAAGCCTTTGACAACTAATCTTGCCTTGTACCTTAGATGTGATGTTCTCTTCAGACTTTAATCTGTACACCCACTTGTTCTTTAGTGCTTGCTTGCCCTTTGGCAACTTCACCAGTTCAAAGATGTTCTCATGAACAGTGGCGGAGGGAGGGGGCATGGGGGGCCTAGCACCCCTTGACCTGATACTAGTCCTCTAGTATATAGTTAATATACATGTATTTTTAGTGGAAGTTAATATACATGTATGTATATTGCTAGCTGTTTGGCTCTTCCCATTCATTTTGAACGTTTTTTTGAGATGATTCATTCCAAACATTAAGTGTATAGTGTGTGTTTGAGGCCCAATAAGAAGCCCATGTAATTGCTGTTGCTCCCTTCAACGGTTCTGAATACGAAGCATCAAGCCTTCCTGGCTTCCTTCGTTTCTCGCATGTTCGAGTGTTCATCTTCTCTTCTGTTTCGCCAATTCGTGGACTTCAGCACTTTGCCACGCTGGTACTATCGGAGTGAGAGGCCAGACGTGAGACGTCGTGCCATGCCACCGCGACCACGATGATGCCGGCATCGCTGTCCCAAATTGACACCGTCGGGAGCCGGCTGCCGACCTGCTGTCCAAATTGCATCATGTAGGTGTAGGTCTGGCAATCAGGCCACTAGAAGCAACAGGTAATCCGTAATACATAATCATGTAGTGGTATTCTTTTATCTAGTAAATAACATTCAATAGTATTTTTATCAAATTGCCTATGATCTTACTGGTAGTCGTCGAGCTAAATTTAAGATAATAGATATGTAATTTTTCTTTTGGTTAAGATTTGTGAAACATATATTACTACTATATATGTGACTACAACTTGGTATGGTTTACTAGTTTAGTCTTATACATGGCCCCCCTATACTCAATTCCTAGCTCCGCCCCTGCTCATGAAGGAAATTCATCTCATGCTTAATGGCTTCCAATTAATCATTCTTGTGCTCATTAGACATAGCCTCCTCCTAGCATGAGGGTTCACCTACATCTATCAACAACAAATATATTCATTTAGTGGGTACCTACTAGAGGGCCTATGAACTCTACTAGTTCTTCTCAACTGCTCCTACTGTGGTTCTTCTAGAGTATCATCAACATTAGAATCCTCATCAACATCATGTTCTTAGATGGCTGGTCACCACCCTAGTCTGAACTTGCACCTTTAGTGCTATCATCTTCCCCATGATTGTCATGCACAACTGGAGAAGGATCTAGATCCATATCAACAATTTAAGGTGTAGTGGTTGGCTTCTTTGGCACAATATCTTCAATTGTCTCATCTTGAAAGAATACTACATCTCAGCTTCTCACAATTTTCTTCTTAACTATATCCCATAGCCTATAGCCAAACTACTCATCAGGGTGGCCTAGCAATACACACTGCTTGGTCTTGATGTCAAGCTTTAACCTCTAATCATCTTTAGGAACATGCACAAATGTCCTGCACCCAAAGACCTTCAAATGCTTGTATGATACCTCCTTTCCTAACCATACCTTATGGGGAATATCACCCCATGGAGACAAGTTGATCGCATATATTGCAGTCATCAATTATTCAGCCCAAAACTCATTTGGTAACTTTGCATGAGATAGCATAGTTGTGACCCTCTCTATGAGTGTCCTATTCATTATCTCTGCAAGGCCATTCTGTTGAGCTGTCTTTGGCACTTTCTTCTATTGCTGAATTCCATACAACTTGCAGTACCTCTCAAATGGTCCTCTATATTCACCACCATTGTCTAATATGATGCACTTCAACTTCCTACCAGTTTTCGTTTCAACCTTGGCATGGAACTATTTAAAAGCATCATGTACCTAAAATTTGCTCTTCAAGACATATGCAAAAAGCTTCCTAGATTGGTCATCAATAAATGTGATAAAATATAATGCACCACTAAGGGAATTCTCTATCATAGAACATCCTTAGCATGATGTGGAGTAGTGGGTGTACGAAAAGTAATCATGTGTTGGTTACCAACTAAACAATCTACATAGGGTCTCAAGGTCATACCTTTGAACTCAGGGAGGAAGTTCTTATGAACAAGGGAGTGCAGCCCCTTCTCACTCATATGTCCAAGTCTCTTGTGACACAACTCAATGCTGGAATCCCTCTCAGCAATGTTTACATCACTCTTGCATAGCTTGGTCTTTGTCACATAAATACACGCTTTCTTGGCACCACGAGCTAGAATCAAGGAACCATTGGTGAGCTCCCATTTTTCTTCACCAAAGTAACTGCCAAGGCCAATATCATCAAGCTTTCCCATTAACACCAAGTTCAGTCTTATAGCAGGGACATGCCTCACATTCTTAAGTGTCAACTTGTTGCCTATACTTGTCTCAATACATACAGTGCCCTTGCCAATAATGGTTGATGAATATCTATTTCGCATCCTCACATAGCCAAAGTCACCACTAGTTTAGGATGTGAAGTACTCTCTATGCGATGTGAGATGGAAAGCGGCTCCTGAGTCCACTACCCAACTCATATCATCACCACTAATGGCATTGAAACAACTATCATCTTTGAGAATGAGATAATCCTCACCAACTATAGTTACAACTGAGGTCTCACCCTTTTGCTCGGTATTCTTGCCTTGCTTTGCTTGTGCAAGCTCTCTTTTATAAATCTGCATTGATTTCTTTTGTGTCCTTCTTTCTTGTAGTGAAATGAAAAAATCTTGTTGCTTGAACTTGACTATGATCTCTCGCTAGATTTACTTCTGTCTCGCTGAGATTTCACTTGGCTTCAACCACAATTTCCTTCTTTTCAGATAGATATGCATAAGAAGAAGATGGCTGATGGCTGCCCTTTTCTTTTCTTTTCTTTTGGTTTTCTCATTCAACAAGTTGTTCTTCACCATATTAGGAGTCAGCTTCCGATATGGAGATGAATTGCTAAGTGATACAACAAGTGTGTTCCAGCTGTCCGACAATGGGTTCAACAATAACAATTCCTGCACTTTATCATCAAGATTTATCTTCATGGCTGTCAGCTGACTTATGTGGCCTTGGAAGACATTCAAGTGTTCAATAACATTGCTAGCTGCTTTATCACCAAGGATTTGTTAACTGTTGTCTTCCGCTCATACATAGACTCCAATTTTTTGCCACAACTCAAATGCATTTGTACCATTAGCAACATGGTGAAAAATATTGTGGTTGATGTGCAAACGGATCATACATTCCTTTCGATTTAATACTCTCCAATCTTCTTCCAGGAGTCAAGTCGGTATTTTCTCTCACACAAATGACTCATACAAATCCTTGCAATACAGAAGATCCTCCATCATTGGCTTCCATAGAGAATAAATTGAAGCATCAAGCTTGATCATATATACCACTTGGAATGTTGTTATCCTCAATTGCCAAAGTGAGAAATATCACCTCTTTGATACTAGCTTATGTTGGGATAACCACACAACTTGTTAGTGACAGCGGAAGCACTTAATTTCACCACAATGCGAAATCAACCCAAGATCATCATCTATTCACGGAAGAAAACATATGCATCACACATATAAATGGAGGAAATAGCAGCAACCACAACTGGTTCCAGCCAGTTGTTATCACATCAATCCCAGTTGCTACTAACTGCAACTGACCACAATAGCACTAACAGCAAGTGCAATTAGTTGCAACTAGTTGTAGCCAAGCTCGCATAAACAGCAAGACACCAGATTTAACATGAACAACCCCCAAATCAAGGTAAAAAAACATGGGACCAAACCAGCCAAATCTTCTTCCACTATATGCTTGTGGAACTACAACAAGTTCATCTATAGATAACACTAGTGGCAACCATACATGAAGATACAACCTATCTTGGATAGCAACAATAAGATTTGGGGCTGCTACTTAGGGAGTGGAAAGACCTCACCAAATGATGGTGGAACTCAGATTAGAGGCACCAAGGATGTGGATCCGAAGCTTCACTACCTTGGGGACGAATCCTTCTTGATCTATTGCAAGATCTCTCCAATCTCCTTCTTCTTCCTCTCTTTCTCTGGTTTTCTTCCATCTCTCACGTGCAAGGAGAGCGAGGGGAGGAACTGGAGCTGTGTTGTGTTGGTGGTGTCCAAAGACTTCTCCCTTCCTTCTCTTGTATAGTAAGAAGGAAAACACTAGATGCACACAAGTTTGGTCCACCTCGTTGTGCTACATCTATGACATGTGGCCTGCTCACTAGGAGCATTTACTCTCCTCAACACCCACTCATGAGCAGATTTCCCAACATCACTTGACGTTTGGGCCAGTGTCTTAGGAATCCTCTTGGTGAGACTTCATGTGTAGCCAAGATTTTTAGTGGTTGATTGGCAGGAGGAGACTAAGGCTGTGGCATAATGCTAGACAAGAAAAAAGGATTTGTGTGATGGAGTCTACCTAGTGGCAGTGCGGCAGGGCTCCTGCACGCTATGGTTTTTGAAGGTATGAGAGTGCCTATGTTATTATGAAACATAATATGAAGTAACCCCCTCAATTTGCATCTAATTGCCCACTACTATTTTGAAACATAATCTATGTAACTTCTTAAATTTACATATAAATTATCACTACTGCAATTACTATTGAGAGAAGAACTTAAATATTCCCTCAAAGATACATCAAAATTACTGATCTCTAATATTACAAAAAATCTTTAATTAATCATAAATTACACATATATTTCTAAATTTTCTGGTTTTATTATATTAATATATACTAAACCGGGTAAAAGTAAATATGCATGTGCTAGATCAAGTACACATGCATGTATAATCAATAAATATATATTATATTTCAATAATCATAAAATATCTTTCCTTAACTACTCATATAGAGTGATACTAGCAAATTATTTAACATTTAATATCCATGATATATAATTTATCTAAATTTTTCCTTATATAAATCAACACTACCACACATATAATTCTTTAATAAGAAAATTTAATGTCTTGAGAAGAATAGGAGGTTAATGCTGACCAAAGATGGCTATGAACTTATGGCTTTTGAGATTCCTTATTAGAAATAAACAATGATTATAAGGCTCTACCACGTTAGCATTCCTAGCATACTTATTCAAGATCTCACTTTAGGCTCTACCACTAACCTTGAGCAAATGTGGTGTAGGTTGAAATTACCATATATGTTGTAGATTATTTAAGAATGTAGTCTACAACATAAAATCCTTATTTGAAATAAAAATATAAAAGGATAATTAATAAAATATACAATAAACACAAAAGTTTCAATTAAATTAGAGATAAAAAATAAGACTACATCACGAGACATGAGTTGGAATAGGAGCCAACATAACTTACGTTGACATTTCAATTTCAACTAAATGCATCGAAGATATATCTGGAGTTGCTAAAAACTATGGTTTTGGATTAAAAAAACATATGGATCGGTAATAATTTATAAAGGGGTATTTCAAAATTAAGGATTTATCCTATTGGACTCCCCATGGGCCATGGCACCGAGATTAACGAATGGACCGCGGGCAGAGGTACATTTTAGCTACGTACGAGCATGAGCGTACCTTGTGGGTTTTGCTTCTGGTTGGCCTTTCGCCTGTACAGGAAGACACCAACGATGGTGACTGCGGCAAGCACCGTTCCAACAGCGAGCGCGAGCGCGACCGGCAGAATCGCGCCATGCGTCTTTTTTCCTGCGTTCCCAGTCAGTTGTTAATTTTTTTTATAAGAAAACGCACAACACCACGTTGACCGAAATTCGTTTGGCTGATAAGCCATAGCTATTGTTGACTGATTTATTGTGAGAGAAAAATACTGTTCGTTGACTTAAAAAGTACGGATTATAAGCCAAGCGAACAGGGCGCATATTACATGAGCGGTGCACAGGTAGCATGGTCTTTCTTGCCATGGTGGTGTAACGCTCCGAAGTCTAACGACTGTGAATAACCAGCCAAATAAAGAAATGCAATTTGCTATGCGCCCCTGATTTCCGCATTTGCTTGACACCATAAATAAACGAACGCTACATAAGTGTAGCAGCGTTTCAGTTAGTTTCTATCTATCTTAATTACCTTGAAAGCTAAGCATTTTGCTCAGGTGAGGTGACAATAGAATTAACGCAGAGAAATCACAAAAGAGTCTTCAGACAGATCTAAGAATGGAAAAAACATGTAAAGCCACGTTAGGAGGACTCTGATCCATTCGTTTCTAGTTGCCTCTGGGTCCAGTGTTCCGCCACCTTCTCCCCCAACACCTCCCCGCGTTCATTGAGGGCGACCCTTTTCGGTCTCCTCCGATACTCCACGCTAGTGAGAGCCCCATAGGATGATGGATAGCTCTCGAGATGGAGAACACGGTGGTGTGACATGCATAGCCTGATTCCTAGATCTGGAGGTGGGATTTGGAAGAGGAAGAAGAGGAATGTTTCGTTGTTCTTGGCAAGGAACATGAGGGGGAGAACAGCGAGACAGAGGACAGGGGAGACGCGTGAGGGGTTTCGGAAGAGGGCACCTAGGCAAATTATTGATTGGTCTCCTACATGACCGATTTTCACAACTGATCCTTCTCAGTTTTTAATACATGATTATGCTCACTAAATGTTATTATCCATAGAAACTGCTATAAGACACTATGTATTGAAGGTGTTGAGCGTAAAATTGAATCTTTCTTCGTTGGAAACAGCTATAAAAACTTTGTATTGGGACTGATATTATTAACTCGTGTGAACCAACACATGATAAATTAAGGCAACTACCTAGTAATTAACACTAAATCCGTGTTTTCTTAGAGACAAGGTTGACTAGGATGCACCTAATTTTTTATCGGCCATGCTTATATTAAACAAAATCTATACAAACTTGACAATAAGAATATGCATGGGATGTCAAGTTTAGAGGCAAGGTTAAGCTAAAGGCATATAAAAGTTTATTCTTCACTCGTTTTGTGACGCACGAGCATGATAATTACTAATATATATACCTGTATATAGCCCTTTATTTATGCGTGTGCATGCAGTTGATGAGAAGCTCACCCGGCCGACTTTCTCCGACGAAGATCGATGGCCCATCGAGGGCCAGATCGTAGTAGGGGTATACCTCCATGCGCAGGTAGCAGTTGTAGCCGAGCACAACCCCGCCCCTCTGACCACGGCAGCATGACGGCAACTGCTGCACCGAGTCATTCAAGCACTTGGCGCACTCCGCCGCCGTCCGATCCCTCATGCACTGCAGGAGCCCATACATGGTGCCGTTGGGCGCAGTGGCATCGTACACTGCCGCCCCTGTTGCGAACATCGGTGCTACTGCCGGCGATGACATGCCGGAGCCGTTGACGACGCGCCCGGAGATGCTACTCATGAGCGTGCTGTAAGCAGTCTCGAAGCCAACCGTGTTGGTGACCACAACGCTGTTCTGGAACTCCTGCCGGTACGCGTCCTCGTAGGCCGTCGACGTGTTGGTGTCGGCGTAGCTGACGAAGCAGAACATCGGCGCCGGATATGCCACAGTGGAGCCGTCGTCGTACCAGATGGCTGCGCGGCGTGTGGTGTTGCAGCGGCTCCTGATGCTGAGCGCGGCGTTCTGTATGTACGTGGCGCACTGAGCTGCCGTGGAGTCGCCGCGGCAGATTCCGCGGACAAAGGCGCGGTCAGTGCCGTTGCCTCGGGACAGGGAGGCGAAGCCCGTGGGCGCCGCGGCCGACGGGAGCGCGTCCATTAACGCCACGACGTTGGACCAGAACACGCTGTTGGTGGAAGAAGAGGCCGCCGTCGACTGTTGGCAGTCAAACAGGGTCCACTGGCTGTTCGTGGAAAGTACGACGGTGAAGAGGCTCGCCACCATGGCAAGGAAGAGAAGGCCACGGCCACGGCAACGGCGGTGGCCGGATGGAGGCGACGGCATGGGTGGTGTGTTTTGAGGAGGTGTGGAGACAACGGCGCTGCAGGAATCACATCCCACACTTGGATGATTGCACGCAGTGACGCCGATGTGGGATGCCGCACCGTACCAACCGGTGACGCCGACGCCGATGGATGCCGTACCAACCCCGGCGTAGAGGACTTGGTGTTCGATTGGCACAGCTAAGACTGGACTTATCTGATACCGTCGACTTCTATGGCAAGTTGTTCGTTGCATCTTTTCCCCGTGGATGGAATAGCTGTCTGGACTTTTCAGCGAACACAGGTGAAATCTCTTTTTATCTTGGCGACTGCACTCTGTAGTTGGATCCGGTGATTCGTAACAGTTGATTTGTTCAAAGAAAAAAAATCACACCATATATTGACGTATAATCACGTTTGTATACGTACATTATGCCATGACCCGGTTCCAGATTGAGTCTGAACCAACGGTAGACTGAGATAAGCTTATCTCGCCTACTATTCCATTGGTTTCTAGAAATACCCACTATGCCAGAAAACCAGATTAGTGACGCGGAAAACACACGTCACTTACATTGCGTCTGTGATGTGAACACATTAGTGACGCGTAAATGCGCATCACTGATTTGAGTTATCAGCAACGCGTCTAGCTAAAACGAGTCACCACTTATGTGAGTTATCAGCGACGCGTGTAGCCAAAAACGCGTCACTGATGTGAGTTACCAGCGGCGCGTAGCCAAAAACGCGTCACTGATGTGAGTTACAGGCGACGCGTGTAACAAAAAATGCTTCACTGATGTGAGTTACAGGCGACGCGTATAGCCAAGACGCGTTACTGATGTGGGTCTCATCAGCGACGTGTATACCCAAGACGCGTCACTGATAACAATTCAGAAAAAAAAACCCTACTTGGGTCCTATATACATCAGCCATGTTTCATGTGTTTCAGCAATCAAATTCTTTATTGCAAACTTTAGATACAACTTATGAAGCAATCAAATTCATTACAAACTTTAGATACAACTCATGCTACAAAACATCTACTCAAGGAGCTGTTACCTAGAAGACTCCTAGCAGTACATAAGCAGATAACACATAGTATAAGGATTGTTCTTGAGATTAAATACATTAACTACATTGAGTATAACAGTACAACTAATTCCATGAGGCAACCTGCTTTAGCCAAACAAAACAGAAGACATGCAAGTCTCCGAAGTCTCCGAAACACAGCGGCGAGGCTGAGACGCCGTGCTGTCTCTCTGTGTGTAAGCAGATAACTCATACAGTTTTATATATATTGCATAAATAATTGAACTGATTAGTTGAAAAAACCAAGATAACTGTCCTAAACAAAACACAAGCTGCTGCAACTGAACAAAGAGGATACAGGCTAGCCGATTAGCAACTTACCTGTTCACCTGATGCAATATTGGTGCCAACATGCTTGGCTGAATTGAGGTCCTGAACTTAGCTTTCTCTATTGGCATAATACTTGCATCTACCAAGGTGACCCTGGAAAAAACATTTTGGTGAGCAGGTTAGGAGCACAAACAACACACCTCAATGGACTTGGCGTTGAGGAGATCCTCGATGTAGGCGGCCTGATTCTCTCTACCTTGGGCGCCGGGGCCAGGCCGAGACCGGGACTGGGCGGCCTTCTGGGTCAGGGAGGGCGCCCGAGGGGAGGTCGGGGGAGACGTCGCCGGAGGAGACGCCGCGGCTGGCCGCTGGGACCGAATGAGGAGGATGTATGGATCCGGATTGGTGAGGGAGAGTCACCGGGGGGAGGAGGGGAGGCGCCGCGTCGACCGCCCTCCGGCGTGGGGGGCTCGCTGCCATCACCCGTTAGGGTCATTCTCCTGTCTCACAGTGCCGATGGGTGAGGGAGACTCACCTGGGGGATGCGGAGGGGAGGCGTGGCGCGGGGGACTCGCTGCCATCGAAGCCGGTCTCCTGTCCTGCAATGTCGGTCGAGGTTTCATGCTGTGAGCGACAGCATACTGCGTGGGGCTGCAGCGGCGAGTTGATGACACGTGGTGGTGGCGGCTAACCCTAGCGGGAGAGAAGAGGATAGGAGAGGAGAGGAGAGGAAGGGACTCAGGACGGGAAGTTGGGAGGTGCCGACAGACGCGAGCTCGTAGTTAACATGACTTGAGATTTTTTCAGGTCTAAAATAAATGTACCACATATGTGTATGCTTTACACGCGTCACTGGTTAACAGGGGTGGTTATGAGTGACACGTTTTATTTTCTTTCCATGGGCGATAACTAATGAGCGAGGCGTATTGTTTACCCGCGTCACTAGTGTAATTCTAGCGACACGTTTCAATTTTGAGTCACTGATTTAGGTGTCTCCTTTGTGCTATTTTGGCACAGTGACCGTCAACCTTTTTCATACATTTGACTATTCATTTATATTTTCTTTAATTAAATATCTACATGAAAGGAAAACATTTTAAAGACAGTTCGAACACTATTTTTGTGAAAAACATGTTGTAACATTCTCTTGTCATGGTAACCAGATAAGCAAGAAACACTACTACACAAGTGTAAGGAAAATGGACCATTGTCCCATTTAGTTTGGATTTTGGAGTCTCATTATCAACATGACCATTGGGACTAACATTATTTGCTAGTGTTTTTGTATTAGTTCAAAGGGTGCAAAAGTGAACTTTGACTAAGGCAACAGTGTGATCCGAATGATGAGCACCTCAAGCAAGACATTAGAAACAATGCTTAAGACCTACAAGACATGCAAAGAGTCCAAGTCACGAAGATAGAGCCAAGCCAAACGCAAAGATCACGTAGAAACAAAGTGAAGAAGGCTCAGCATGGCATCAGACCAGTGGTGGAGCAAACCCTAGGAGTGAGCGTTAGTGGTAGAGTGTTGGACAAAAGTTGAACAAGACGTCAAACCAAATGGGTGCACTGTTCACAGAAGTAGGGAGCATTGGACCGAGCCAACAGGAGGGCGTCGGACCAATTTCAGCAGAGTCAGACGACGTCCAGAGAGGTTCTAGAAAGGATTTCTAGGCATCGGACCAGTCCGAGGACTAGCGTTGGACCATACCCTACGTGGGGCCAAGATGTCGATGACTCAACGGTCGACAATGACTAGTCACGGAGTAGAGGCGTCGAGTGTCCGACGACCACCGTCGGATAGTTCGACGGTCACGCAACAGCTATGTGCCAAGTCCCAATAGCTTTATGTTGTTGGAGTGTGCTGAAGATATAGGAGTGTTGAGACACCCCATCAAGTGCTCTACCACCACAAGTGCTTAAGAGAAAATTAGGTACCATGATTAGTGTAGGTCTTTGTGTGAATTGCTTAGGCTAGTTAGACCCGCTTAATCGCGCTTGCTAAGGGTTTAGGCCTAGTGTTTCTTGAGGTTTACATACCTCAAAAGAAAGGTGCTTATGCACCGTGTTTGTACTCTGAGGGGCTTCTAGTCTTGCGAGACCACATCAAACGCATTTGTGGTGTGGCCACCACCGTGTACCTGAGGGAACGAGCACGACGTTTAACCCAAAAGCTCGATAGTGAAGATGGCGGGAGCGATGTCCCGAAAGAGGCATTTTGGAGACTGCGTGCACATGGGGAAGGCCCGGTGCTATCCATGGAGTTACTGGATCAGGAGCTTGGCCCTTGCGAGGGCTCCAACGAGGATTAGGGGGAAGTTTGCGTGCTTCTCGATACCTCGGTAAAAATATCGGATTCGTTGATGGGAGTTCGCATCTCTATCTCATTTAAGCTTCTGCATTTATATTGTGTACCTTGGTTGTGTGCTTTACCTTCCTAGCTTAGTTGATAGGATGAAACCTCGGTTGCATAATGTCTGTGTTTCATGGACCGACCAGTAAATCTATCACCGCGCTTCTCAAAGAAATCGATGCCGGCACTCGAGACACAGGGAATTATACTAGTTCAGGACAGAGCCCTACGTCCAGTCTCAGAGGGGTCCGAGTTCGTGTTCCTCGGTTCAAGTGCTCTAAAGGCTTACAATGGGGGTGCTCATAAGCGTGGATGGCAGAGTGAGAGGAGTCAAGATAGTTCAGATCCTATGTAGAGTGAAGGCCTGGCTCCCGTTTGTTTACACTAAAATTTGGAGAAGAGCAGGGGAACTCGTAGGCTTCCAAGATTGTGCCAATCAAGGAGTCGATTGCGTAAAGATAGATATCTGCCGGTTCAGATGCGACACTAGGATCGGTTTTCTTTAAAAGACGTCAGAAGATAACGATGATGAAATATGATTGGCATCAAGAAGATACATATCAGACTCTACAAAAGGGGAAAGATTAGAGTCCAAGTTATTTTAAAATAGGAATGTTTTCTTCATACCAAAGATTGTACTGAGTCGTGCTTGAGTAGGATTCGTTTTTAGACTCCGGGTATAAATATCAAATTCCGGCTATTGTAAAAGGACACACAATCAATCAAATACAAGTTATTTACTTTTTTCGGCTCCGGTCACCCCTTAGGAGTAGGCGTAGAGTAGATCTCGGCGAGTTCTTCAGCAAGTACGGCTGCATCGATCCGGTCGACCTCCACTGCTTGTCTGTAAGTACCGTTATGGCTTATACCTCTGTTCGTATGGCTGCATCGATCCGGTCGACCTCTACTGTAACTCTGGTATGAGTTAGTTATCGACTCTTGTCTAGTTCAAGTACGGCTGCATCGATCCGGTCGACCTCCACTACTCAAACTAGATTAATGTCAAGTTATCGGCTCTATCTAAGGGTGGCGTTCCTTCGGATAGATTCATTAAGTTACCGATATTGGTTATTGCTTCCATTGTTTATTTAATTACAGCAATATCACTTCACCCGATTGAGATTGATCTAGATCGGCCTTATATCTTGTTTAACCCATCGTTTGTTAATCCAAACTGATATAATCTGTACTTTAAACGATGAGTTATGTTTTATCGGCTGTTTTATATCAATCTTGATCGTGCATAGCGTGCGGTCAAGGCGCATCTGATTTTGAGTAGATCTATTGGCTAGCGAAAACTGTTTCATGGT